TAGCGAAATGGCATGCTCAGGTTTCAGATCACCAAAGATCGTCGCCTTTGCTTGTACTGGATTGAGTTTGTTCCAAAAGAAAGGCTGACCATAATGTCTCAATCTCTTATCTTGTCACTCTGGGAACGCACCTTCAGTTTTGGTGCATCTCTCTTTGGAGTGACCGGCTTTCGTGACAAAATTCCTCCATTGGGCATTGGCGGTGGAGGCGGAGGTGGAGCATTCCCCCCTGGCAAAGGAGGTGGCGGTGGTGGGATAAGGTGGCCAGAAGGAGGAGGAGGAGGAGGTGGTGGTGGTGGTGGTAATGGTGGCACACTGATACCTTGTGTCGGCGGAGGAGGAGGGGGAGGGGGAGGTGGTGGCGGTGGTAATGCGTTGGTCAGTTGATGGAGTACAGGAGGAGGTGGAGGTGGTGGAGGCGGTGGAGGTAGAGGCTCTAGTTCGTCAGGTGATCTTGTGAAAGAAGGAGGTGTAATATTGTTGTTGATCGTGAATGGTGGTGGTAAGGGGATGTAGCTCTGGATAGGCGCAGGAGAGGATGTTAGGGGATCGTTTTGGGGCGGAGGCGTAGGTTCTTCCAAAGAAGGGACGGGAGAGTCGTGTCGCACTTCAAGAGCGAGACGAGCACTACCTAAATCTGCTTGTAAACGTTTGACCGTACTCTTCAAATTTTCAATCTCCAGCTCTCGTTCGCTCAGAGCGCTCAGAGTCCGGGAAACAACGTCGTCGTTGTCATTGTGGGACGTTCGTTCGGAGGGGTGAGAATGAGGATCGGCTACACTGTTGATATTGCTTTGGAACCTCGCATAGACAGATTCCATGGCCCTCTTCAGGTAACGAATCTCTTTGTCCCGGGTTTCTACCAATGTCTCCAAACTGGCGATCTATATATCCTAATGAGTCTAGGAAAGACAAGAACAGTGGTCCGCCGCACCTGAGATTTGTGGCGCGAAATTTCCTCCATGAGGTTAGTCCATTGCCTATTCCGCTCAAGTCGTTCCTTCTTAGAATATTCAGCCTGCCAAAGAAGCGTCAGGGTCCATCGCCAGGGAGGCATGCACGGAAGGTCATACATCCTCTAGCTTCTCTCTATTCTGAGACAGCCTCTCCACTTCCGTTTGGAGTTTCAGGACTTCCTTTTCTTTTTGAACCAGTCGTTGTATCACTCCAGCGAAATTCTGTCACGTCATTAGTTCAGCTCCCAGCTTGCCAAAAAGGCGGCTCACTTCCTTGTCGCCCTTCTTCATAGATTGCTGCCTTTGTTTTGGAGAGGTAACCTCAGCTGGAAGAGATCTGAGCGCATTCATCTCTGCTATTTGATCGTTCAGTTGATTCGTCAAGGATGTTCGCTAATCAACCACACGTCAGCATCATTTTATGATGGTTTCAAAATGAATTACTTCGTCACTTAGCTCTTCGACCTTCAATCGCAAAGCCTCCAGTTCTTCAAGAAAGCTGGTTGGTACACTTGCTGTGTCCGAGACATTTGTAGCTTTCACGACAGCTTGCTGTCCGACGATATGTTGAACAGAAGCTAGGTACTGCCGCATGAAGGTGCGCCAGCCTTGATCAAAATCGTCTAGGTCCGCAGCGTGACTAATGAAGTTCTCCAAAACCGTCAAAAGGTCAGTTCGAAGTTGACTGACAGAACGACACTCAGTTCAATCCAAGCGGAGACACACTAAACTCACTCATCGATTTCTCGCTCAAAGATTTCAACGTAGCGCTTTACGGTATCCATTAGGACTGGATACAAAGCTTCATTACGCTCCACTAGTCGAAGCAACTCTGCCAGGGGAACTTTCGTCGCAGTCCTGTGACACAAGTTAAAGCTTGCTTTCGATGTACCTTCGGACATACTGGAGTCTGGAATGACCTATTGCTCGTTCGTTGAACTCGTCCTGGTCTTCTTGTCTCTCCTCGCTGTAGACTTGCAGCTGAGTCAAGAGAGAATCTGGAGCATCTAGATATTTAAGTGCCTGAAAAGCAGATTAATAGGTACAGTGTGACCAGGTAGAACGTACCGCCATCACTTCGTTCAATCCTCTTCTGCTAAACTCCTCTCGCAGTCCAATCCTCGTCTCTAGGTCGTCTGGGCTGTTCGTGAGAGCATTGACTAAAGCCATTCCAGCCGTCCTATAGTCCCACCGCCCAGCTTCATCTTCCTCCACCTGTGTGGCTTCACCCGCAATACTGATGGCAAGTTCATCACCTGTCTCCGGGGAAGAGCGGTAGGCGATACTTTCGACCAGATATTCAAAACGGAACTTTTCGTTGTGTGCAACGCGGAAATCTGAGAGAGCGGACAAGACAGATCGATGGCCATCATTTAGGGAAAGAACACAAAGGGCGGCTAGAACATCCGCGACCAATGTTCTTAGCTTGTTGGATTTGGTGAAAAGCGAGAAAGCGATGTAGGTGATCAATGTTGGATGAACGACGACAGTGTCGAACCCAACCTAAAATGGGGTAAGATATCATACCAGGTATTAAAATCATTTACCTCTGTATTCATCAGAACCCTTAAACACTTGATGCATTCGATTTGAACAGTCTCGTCCAGATCTGTTAGCTCTTCCTTCCTTAGCGCGTCATCAGACAAAGCCAGAACTATGACAACGGGCTCACTTGGACGTGCTTTTACCTGTGATTTTCTCCAAAAGCGAATTAAAAGCGTCCAGGCCCTTCTCATCTTCTAGAAATCTCTTTGTCCAGGAGAGCTGCGCCGTCGACAACCTGACACGAAGGGCGATGAGATGCTTGACTAAACTGCGTTGTGAGATTTTTCTATGATTACATGATCAGAGGTATGCTGAAACCAAGGTGAATACGATATGTACCCAGAACGTAGCTGCTTCACATAGAAAGCAGGTGTATCTTGCGCATTCTCTCCCGCGTCTTTTCCAGTATTGTGAGGGCTTGCCGGACTTGCAGAGCCAGTCCACCAAGATGACCAAAGCGAGGTTGGTGCCGTTGAAGTTTGAGCAGCAACAGGACTGATTGGGCGAATGGAGCTTGCAGTAGCTGTCTCCACGACAGGAGATGAAGCGCCCGCTTCGGCGGAAGGGAGAGGCGGGCTGTCCGTGCTCGACCAGCCGATCGTCGCAAGGGAGAGGCGTTTGAAATGTCCCAATGTACTTGGTTGTGCCGACGACGTGGAGTGTTCTGGTGTTGGTTTGGACACTGACGTTGAACCTTGGTGTTGTAATTTGCTTTGAGAATGTATCAAGAATCGTTTCCTCTCCGGGCTAAGTTGTCGCATGGCTATTCGTTGAGGTCCTTTAATTCCCAAAGTGTCCTGCAGTGGATGCATGAGACAGCGCGATGAGAATCAAAGATAGAATACATACCATAAGCTGCTCGAACTCCTGATCCAGGGATTCGCCCTCCGCCAAGTCCTCGCCCAAAGGTACTTCCACAATAGAATTCCGTTCAGCAAGTCCAACGACTGTGACTCTTTTGGCGCTTGGATTCCTGGACCGCGGCGTTCCTTCGCTCGTCACGGGAGACGGAGGACTGACGACCTTTGGAGAGTTGGTTCCGTTCGCTTTCGAAGCGGGGGGGACGGCCTCAGGATCCACTGCAAGCCAAGAGTCAAAAAGGTGTGAGAGACGGCTGTTGAGTTTGTCCTGAGCGGGAGAAGAACCAGGCGCTTGCTTCTTCATCTTGATTGTATCTTCACCTTCTGCGTCCGAATCCTCCTCATCATTGCTAAGTTCTGAGCTGACCAGGGGATCTGGCTCCGCTGGAGGCGTTGTCGGAATAGAGGTGGACAGAGCTGGAGCAGCAGTGCTTCCCCACAGTCCTCCGAAGAGAGTAGTAGGTCTCCAACCAGATGAAGCTTTTGCCATTGCTGGGGCTGAAGGTTTCTTATCTGCGAAAGCGGCGTTGACTGACTCTGGGTAGACGGATGCAGGTATCGAACGAGGGCTTTCCTTCTTCCCAAAACTTCGAGCCACCGTCCCGATTTTCGCCAGCCACGCCCTCGAAACGCAGAGGGTGACATCATACGGGGCAAGACGCGTTCCAGATAGGCGCTCGAGTTCTGGAAAGATGGGCGTGGCGGTTGGGAGAGGGATGAAGTCTACAGAAGTTGATTAGATAGATACACGAGCAGGAAAGACGACGCACCCGCTTCTGATTCCCCGGCATGCCACTCCAAATCAAACATGACCCTCGCGCTCTTTGCTCCGCGCACTACCCGACCTTCGATGCCAACTTCGTCTCTGATCATTTCTATCGCAGTATTCACGTCCATAAACCGAGTAAGAAAGAATATCTTCGGTTTTAAGTGCTGGACATGGCTGGACGGTAATTCGTTTGCAAAATGGACACGAATGGATGTTGGCACATGGACCAGTCGCAATGTAGGGGCGTGGAGATGTGCCGTGAGTGCGTAATCGACGTCCTGGGAGAGAGATTCCTCTGGGACCTTGAGCAGTGTGCGAACAGGTGCGTCTCTCGCAACGAGGCCTGCGGTACAGAGCTCGTCTATGACCCATAACTCCTGAGTGTCGAATAAAGCAGCACATACCGTTGTCGTCGCAGCTAATGTCTTTCCTTGAAGATATACATTGGATAGCCCAGTCGTCATCTTTGGTCTCAGTGCCCTCCCCTAGAACAGTGCGCTTGATGTAGCCAGCCTCCGTCCCGCTGTTGAACAGTGAGCTGATGAGATCATGCACAGTGGCATTCTGGGACTCTGGAAGTGAGAAGGAGATAGGCTCTGAGGTTGGGAGGATAAGCTGGGTAATGGTATACGGAGGCATATAGGTTCAAGCCGTTACAAGTGAGAAGGACAGCTTCGATCCTCTCTGATGCTGGTCCTCATCCGCAGCGTGACTACATCATATGACTAGAGATACAGGCACTAAAGCTGAGTCATACGAGGCGATGATACATTCTTCGAGGACTGGCAGCACTGGCAAGAGGAGAGGATGAAGCAGAGCGGAGAAGATTGTAAAATAGAAAACAGGCTACACAATAAAAAGGAAAAAGTATGACAAGAGTGGGATTCGAACCCACGCCCGAAGACTCGTAAATCCACACTGATACAGTGCAAGTCCTGAAACGAGCGCCTTAGACCACTCGGCCATCTTGCCGAATAATTAACATTGATCGGGTTTTGTCAACTACTACACATGTAAGGAGCTCGTTCTCTTTGCGAGAGTGACATGTGTGACACTGTGATCCTGCTCTACAATGTGTCCAGCACTTGGTTTCGTCGTCTTAACAGGGACTGGCCAACTGAGTAGTTTGGGGAGGCTACTAGTATGAGTGCAAACATATTTGATCCGTTCCAATTGAAATACAACATTAACATAGTTGACTTGTCCCAATTTTGACTGGATACACTTTTTTCAGGCAAGATAATGCAAACATACTCAACCGACCCAAAAGATCCTGACAGATTCATTCAGTCTTCCACAAGGGCGGAAACCAGGTGCTTACCTCCAATCGCCAGCCTTTCTCGCCCACCAGAAGGCTCCAGCGGGCATGGACTGGAACATGGCGTCCGCACTTTCACTTGCACCTCCATCACCTTCTTCATCGGGGCTCATGCTTCGCTCTCGACTCCCCATGAAACTATGCTCCTCTTGGATGCTCTTCCACCAAGGACCACCTTTGCACAGGAACCCACAGTTTGTACCCAAATCGTAACTCGCCAACCCATCGAGTTCGGGATCGTGATTGGTTCTCCAGGACTTGCGTTCGGCAAGGTTTGGTGGAGGAGCAGAGTTGGACGAACGAAGAGGGACGAAGAATGGAGTGCGATGGTTGGAAGAAGAAGAAGAAGTATCGTTTAACTGTGAGATGGAGGATTGTGAAATATAGCCTTCTTGAACCTCGACACCTGTCGGTGTGAATGCAACGAGCACGAGACGAATGGAGGACTGGTCGTCGTACATTGCCTTGGGAGGGAGGAAGGGAACGACCCGATCGACGGCCGTGTTCCACACAAAAGTGTGTAACGGACGCATACGCAGAGGAGGCATGACTGTGGGAGGCACGTTGAACGAGTCTGATGTATGACAAGCCAGTGGAGAGCGAACGAGATGACTTGCTCGTCCACAAGTGACGAGATATATCGGTCTTAGTGATCGTCTCTTCCCAGAAGAACTCTTTCCTTTCCCACTCGTGTCTTCCAGAGGGAGGAGGATCTGCTCGCAACCGTTCAACATCTCTTTTCCGCTAGCTGCCGAACCGCTTCCAATCTCGCCATCCGAATTCCTCCTGCCCATCGCAATCTCATCTCTGCTCGATCTCCTTGTCATTCCAGCATGCACAGGCGACGGTGCCGAACGATCCTTTTGTCGCTGCTTCTTGTGACTTGCCTGTGTCACCAGTCTCGGGAGTTCAACTTCTCGAACTGACGAGTCAGACAAACGGATCACGACGGCTTTGTCAGTCATTCCAATGAAGAGATACAATTCGTCAGGCGCTGTAGCAGATGGTTCGGTGGACGCTCTTGAATTCACTGAGGCGGCTCGAGAGCGCGGTTTCTCGTCTCTCATCTTGGGATCCACGCGGACGACTTCTACGAACGTTGGAGCAAACGGAGCGTAGAACTCGTTCACAATCTGTCTCCCATGGTCAAGAAATTAATATTGCTAAAGGAAGAGGCTCACCTGCCATGTTCTTTGAGCGGCAGGCCGACTCTCGAACAGAAAGACCTGTTGCCTAGTCACCAGAGCAAGGTATATCCATCCTGGCGTCTGTCCGCCATCGTTCTCTCTGGCTTTAAGTATCGAGGGCACATTGCCATCTTCCTCGCTCGGTATCCACGTGGCCGGTCTCCTGGCCAGTCGGAAGAAAAGGATCGGGTAGTGGGTTCGTGGCGGGTTCAGAATCACAGCTTTCGTGGCCCACTCGAGGGGAAGTGTGACGGAAGGCGACTGTGAAGGCGGGGTGGGAGGGGAAGCGATGCGTGGGAGAGTTTTAGCGTGATTCAGGTGCGGATCTTTTGACGGGGCGAGTAACGGAGTGCTCGAGGCCGTGCTTTGCGTTCGTTGGCGCGTCGTCGCATCATCGACGACGAAGGGGGTGAGGTCTTGCAAGGTTCCGGCAGATGGGTTGTGGTGGTGGTGTCTGAATCCAGGTCCATGCAACGGTCTCTTTCCCTTCCCTCCCGAGTTCGACCTGCCTAACTTCGAAGGTCCACCACCCGCAGCTCCCATCCCAGCATTGAATCCGGTTCGCTCTTGAAACTCAGCCGGCAGCTCCGAGAAAAGCTTTCTCAAGCCGTGCAATGCGCTCCGTCTCTTCGACCTGTCCTTCTCCTTATCAGGAGCCGGGGCAAGGTCCACAGGTTCTGAGTCCTCCGTAAACGTCCGCCATTTGACGAGATTGACGAGAGATTGCAGAGGCCACATCTTGACTTGAGGACTCGCACCCTCCTCGATACCTTCCACCAATCCAATAACGATACCCGACACTCCATCCTTCCTCCCATTCGAAGGTTCCTCCAAAAACACCTCCAATTGCAAAACTCCAAGGCCGGACCAGACCTCAAAACAACGTGCATTCTCCACCGTCACTTCCGCCACCTTTTCGTTCTTTCCCAGATCCGGAAACATGTCCACAGCCCACAGAGACGAACGGGTTCCGATGAGCAGGTATCGATCCGAGTTCAGGGTATTGGGTGAACGACGTTGAGAGGCTGAGATGGTTGGGAGGGCGGTAGCGCAGAGGGGTTGTTCGGGTATTTGGTGTAGGAAACGAGAACCGATTGGATGGATGGATGTTGATGGAGTGAGCGGTATGAGGCCCGGAGGTGGAACTAGTTGGGGATAGGTGTGATGAGGTGGAGGAGGCGCAATTTGCGTGGTCATTGTGGAGCTTGTTGAGGCAGTGGTCGACCCGGACGGGTGAGAAGAAAGCGAGGGTCCAGCAGACATCGACTGTTCTGGGCTGGTACTTGGCCGAACTGATCCATCTGTTATTGGCTCTGTTGGGTATATATCTTCCTACGATGATACGATGAACAAGGAAGAAAGTCAGCTTTGAACATCTGAGTTACATTTCTTGTTGGTGAATTGTCAGATTGTAGCTGAATGTGTCATTGTTCTAAGAACATTGCTTCCATCTGCACCATGAAAAATGGACTAATGCCCGCTGGGTCCAAAATAAGTGTTCGCTCATCATTATTGTCTTATACGGTGAATTGTGGCAGTGTAATTGAAATACTCTAAGTCGATTTCCATCTTTAATTCTTTGGACAAAATGTCTTGATCGTTCCTCCAAAAGGAAGAGCTCTCTAGGAGAGAATACGGGAGGTAGAAAGGCCAGAGGGAAATGTCAAACAGCACATCAATTGAGAGGAATCACAACTGCTGTAATAGAGTTGCTATCACATATGGGTGAATTCCTCCAAATGACATGCTGTGTTGGCGTTATCCAAAGCAGTCAGACAAGCGAGAAGGGGGTTGTTGCTGTAAATGCAGGTTCAAGCCCACGTCTTTGAAATCTCCGATCTCAACAGACCGTCGAAGAGAAATAAAAAGGATAGAAAAATATGCTCTCCCAAACTCTCACTGCTACCCAGTACAAGCAAACAAAACCCATCCTTACAAGACGAGAAAGAAAGAAGAAAAGAAAAGAAATACATACGACATCCCACCCTCTCCTGCCACCACCTCTCCTCCTCTCCTCCTCCCTCTCCTCCATCCTCTCCCTCGCCCTCTTCTCAATCCACCCTCTCCACCTCCCAAACCTCCCCCCTCCACCCCCACCTCCCGCGAGCTGTTGCTCCATTTCCGAACGCAAAAGAAGCTCGTCGTACGTCGGAAGCTCGTTTGCTGGCCCCAAATCGGGATGGTCCCTCTCCATCGGTATCTGTGGATGATGTTCCCGGTGCTCATCGGTTGAGTCTGGAGGTAGGGATAAATCGAGTGCGAACGGGTCTTCGGAGGCGGTAGAATAGGAGTGGGCGTGTGAGTGGGCATACGTTGGAGATTGAGATTCCGGAGGGGGAGGGGAGAATAGTTCTGTGGATGTGGAAGGTTTAGGTGTTGGAGTGGTGGAGGTGAGAGAGTGGGAGAGGATGTCGAACTTCTCGTGTGTCACGGATCCGCCGCTTCCTCTCCTCTTTCGACTCTCTGGAACCGCCAAACCCTCGTAATACCCCAGAGTGGCCTGTTCAATCGAGTGCATCTTTTGAGAACTCCTCCCCCTTTTCTTCCCATCATGATCACCACCTGCTGAACTATCAAGATCGCCATCAGAAGCGTCAGTGTGAGAATGATCAAAGTCAGGTATCAGGTTATCGTCTTGAGGTGCATCTCGGGCGACAGCAGAAGGGAGGACGTCGTACAGTCTGGCGGTGGTTGGTATCTTTGTCGCATTGGGGTGCTGGACGGGGGTGTAGGGCGTGGCTGAGTGCGCGGGAGAGGCGGAGGGGATGGGCGAGGAGGAGGAGGTCGGGGAGGCGGTGAGCGAGGGCGGAGAGGGCGAGGCGACGGAGAGATGGGGGAGCACTGGGCGGAGCGAGGCTGGTGGAGGCATCTTCAGCCTTCTTGGAATGGTGGAAGGAATAAGTACACGGGAGAACAGTGCATTATGTAAGTATCCAGGAAAAGAGTGGAGTTCCATCCACAATATTCCTCCACCTCTCCTTCAATCATCCTTTAAACGAGGATTGATAAAAGTAATAATGAACCGTCTAATCACCTCCCACTTCCAACGTCGAACACTAACCAGCGCCCGGCATTCTCTCTCCCCAAAGTCACGTCCCACCACCACCACCACCACAACTACCACAACACACGACGAAGAAAACGAAGACCGTCTCCTCTCCTCCCTCCCCCCCTCCATCTCCGTATTCACAGACTCCGACCTCTCTCCCTCTTCCGAATCAGAAGTCTCCGACTCCAACGAACCCAATGATGCTGACGGTGGGAGGAGTGGAGGAAGGGGGAAGACGGCTGGACTGGACGCTCTCAGGAACATGGTCGATGCTTATTCGACGAGATCCAGACCTAACTCTGGCGCTGGAGTCGGTGCGGAGGCTGGAGAGACGACCGCGAGAGCTTTGTTGAGAATGGGTGGGACTCAGTGTCAGTCGTCTCCTCCTCTCTCTCTCTCTCTGGTTTTTTCTGTGTTT